CGGGTTTAAGTTTAAAACAATTAAATATCCGCTGTAAATCTCACAACTTCTGCATGACAAGTATCCCTAATGTGACACCCGAACAAGCTAAAGCCAACTATAAAAAACATCTGTCTCGGGTGTAATTGACAGCTGCAGAAATGCAGGCATAGTGTGGCTGTCAGGTAAATCATTCGATACTGCTTCTGTTGACAGTGGGACATAAAGCGACACCAAAGTTTGAATCCATAAAGATGTCTCTGTCCCAGTACGCTGACAGGCAAACACACAGATCCCAGGATGATCACTGCTCTGTCCAAGCAATCTGTGCAAACAAGTTGAGCTGATTCACATTAAAGTGACTGAAGAGTGGAAAACAGGTGGATGCAGAGGTGATTGGTTGATTCATAGCACCAACATTTCATGCCAATTAATGCAACTTGAGTTCAAGCATGAACTCGATTGTTTGTATGCAGGATTTGTTTTGTCTAAATGTATTCATACCGGTTACTTTAAATACATAACCTAAAGGAATAGTTCTGCCTTTTGATAAAAATGTGACCTCGCTGAAAGTTAGATGAGAAGATTGGTGAAACAATCTTACTTTCCATTTTTCCTCAAAAAGTAAAGAAGTATATTTCCCGTAGTGTCACTATTCCTTCAATCAAATGCGGAATTATGGAAATGATGTAGGACTTTCAGTTGGCTGTTAGTCATAAAACTTTTTACTTTTGTTATTTGGGTCTGGAAAACGTTTTCAATGAAAATAGTTTACTGAAATGAACTGCCTGGAGCCCTGTGATAAATATGGCCCTTTGCTGTATTATGGGGCATTGAGATTGTACGCACGCACCAAACAATTAAAATCTTTGCTGTTGCCTTCGATGCCTCCAATTAGTTCTGTGGCCTAAATTGCGCTTTTGTTCTTGACAAAATAAGGTAACCAATGAATCATAAAACTGATTAGAGATGAGAAATGAATCCACCATTCTGTTATTCAGGGTTATAATCATGTTCACGTTGGAATAATTGCAATTAAATAAGATCATTTCGCCGCGAGCACAAAATAACATTGATTCACCAACCAAGACACATCTTTGATCCTAAATGCCGTTAAAGTAATTTAGGCTTTGGAAATTAGATCATGTCTGGCGCTTAGACGTGTTTATTTGCCTGCCAATGACTTAATGTCACATTTTTCAAGTCTTTATAAACCACTCAGCACATGAGGGGGTTCTGAATGCATCCTCCGGAGATGGGACTTGGCGTTGAGGGCAGTTATCTGAACTGGAAAGTAAATTCCCCTCGGCTGCAGACTGTGGACTTCATTTTTGTTGTTGTCGTCATTAACGAAATCATATTCGGTCTGCCGCCACCAAACCAAATTCCTGATAATGAGCAATCCCCTTACAGCTGATGGGTCATCAATGGAAGAAATACAATTTAAAATCAAGAGTAACATTTATAGATGCTGTCTCTGCTTATTGGGTGTTTTTGTATACGCACACTGATGTACTACTTTGACGCAACTCTCAATAAGTTACACACTTACACCCCTTTGTCATACTGCGGTTTACTCATTATTGTACTTGGCACGAGAGCGTGCCACATATTTTCTTCTCAAGTACTTGTACAGAATGTGCACATCCCTGAGTGGGATCCACGTTCCATCTGCAGAGAGGCATCCCAGCTATTGTTCTTATTTGAGGCATTTCTCTCTGAAAGCCGAGCGCGAATCATGTCAGAGGTCAAAGGTTCCCCAGTAGGGATGACAGACGCATCAAAAACGGCAGCGCATTAACACAGCCAGCTGATTCTGTGGCCTGTGGCAGAGCCGGCCAGCAGATTGTACCCCTGGTTCTGACATTCCTTGTTATACAAGTGGGGAATTGATGTTAACATTCATACTTAAATATTAACTCATGAGTGAGGTTAGATAAACAAATAGCTGTTCTCTTCCACATTTGTCTTTTTTATCCCCTTTCTTTCTTCCTGTCCACAGCTAGTGCTTTATTTTTAGTGGCTATCTTTCCCCTCTAGCTCAGGAATCGAGCTTGTAGCCTTATGCTGTATGTCACTACTCGAAACCGGGTTAAAGGAACAGAAACCTGTGTTTTATTTCACCATTGAGGTTCAAGTGTGTCATCAACCCGTTTTAACCAGCGACCTTGAGTTCAGATATTCCAAAGGTTTGCTCTCCTGAGAGGTTAAAATCTTGTCTATCTTGCAACCATTTACAGTTTTTTATCTCTGAAAAGCTTAAATAAACGTATTCAATTCGTATTCAGTGATCTTTGACATTTGGATTATTTTTGGACTGTCTTGTGAATTCCACAAAAGATGTTAGAACGAAGCATCAAAAATGTATTTTACTCATCATCAGTCAGCCACCTTGCCATGAATTACCCTGTAATTCAAACTGGCACAGTCTCTTTTTAAATGTAAAAGGTCAGACAAAGACTTTACAAAGAATAGGGCTGAAACTATAAAAGTGCAGGTGTCCCTGCTTGATTTAATGCAAGCCCACATAAAAATCTGCCATTCATTTCAAGTGGTCTGTAAAACTGCTTCATGTGGAAATCAAAGCGTCTCAACTTTGGCCTCAAACACACTCACATTGGATGCAGGTACAGTCTTTTGATGTAAAGAGCCTTTTTAAAACCAGGCCATGAGCCCTACTGTTTGTCGGAATGAGAAAAGGCTTTCCTCTGCAACGCGTCCATCACAAAAGAGGCCATTAAGCTCGTTATTTTTGGTTGTCTACGGACCAGTAAATATAGGACTAAGGAACTAGGACTGTTCATTGAGAGCATTTCCAAGATTCTTTTTCCCAGAGTAAATACAACTGCAATCACATGTGGAACAAACTCCCTCCAGACTAAAAAATACAAAAAAATAATATCAACATCATGATATCTTCTGAAATCTGTAAAGCGTTTCAGTCCTACTTATGAGAACTCCTGCGTTACTGCTGGTTAATGTACTAGTTCAGAGTGATGAAAGCGCTTCGGTGTTTGGGAGATGGAAAACAGCAACAACTTATTTCCTCTGGCAACAATAGCCCCTAACAATTAGTTTTAACTGCATAATACTTCCAGAACACGCGCATTCACAGTCACCAACTTGTGGTGTCATCAGATTTAACCCGATGCCGTACTAGGTAAAAAAGAATAATAAATAAAATAAAAACATTAATTCATACTTTTTTTTAGCTTATTGTTAAGGTTTCAAACAGCTGTTTGACAGGAAATTGCACTGCTAAAAACAAATCTATAATAATTCCTAGAAAAAAAAAGATCCAGTTGCACAAAAGTTGACACGAAATATCATCCAGCAGGCGAGGCCACGGCTGTGAGCCAACGCAAGCTGATTGTGAGGCGTGAAAGACGTGCTCTTTCAACACAACACCTGCACATGCGGCGCAGGGGGGGGACATCCATCGCTTTTCAAATTGCATCAATTGAAAAACAACTAAAAACAAGTGTTCAGTGTTTTTTGTTTTTTTTTCTGAATCCTCTCTCGCCGCGTGAATGGCGCTCTGCTGCCGGGGTCGACTTGGCAAAGGGAGCGGTTCATTTTGCACTGAGTGCGAGCGAGCTGGAGAGTGAGCGCAGGTGGCTTTTGGGACTTTATTAGGAGCATTTGGATTTGGAGGGAACTCCCCCCCAGGCGAGGCAAATGCACTTTGTGACATGATCAGCCGAGGAAATCAGTGGAGGAAATGCCCAATTCAATTTTCTGGCAAGTGGAAATGGGGAAAAGGCCTAATAAGATCCAGCTAAAAGGCTTCCAGTATGCTTCACATGAAGTCTGGAGAGTCTTTTCCGTCTTTTCTGGTCAGCAAATGTAAATGCAACAGGATGAGCTCTTTCCTGATGAGATGTGCAGTTTCCTGCCATATCTATAGTTGTGCTACATCTGTGTGTCATGAAATGATTAATAGGGTACAATATAACGTGTCTTCCGGCTGTGGGTAAAATGTGAGGCTGGGGGTGTCTGCCCATATCAAACTGAGGTGCAAAGGATGACAATAGGCGGGCTAACTCCATTTAACCTCTTATGTAATCAAATTGTACGGTTGTGTAACGCGGCAATCGCCGGAACAGCTCAAAGCGATATGGGACTGTGGGTGGCGGACGTGGGATGGGGGTCATTTAGTCGGTGCTTGGGGGGTAAGTTACACTCTAGTTGCCTTCTTAAGCCTTTTCACGACTGTTGACTAAAAACCTCGCATAGTGAAGCAGCGGTTCGGAGAGTCGTTTTGACGATGCAGCGGCCTTTGTGTCCGACTAAGAATCTGCACATCAAGCATACGGTACTTTTCCGATACAGAGTATGTTTATGAGTAGTTGATAGCATGACAGCGCTAACAATGACTTGCAAAACATGTATCTTAGTTGCACCAATGATCGCTGGTATGAAATGTTCTTTAATGATTAAAAAACTAAAGTTACCCACTAGTACCTTGACGAATCCAAACAATCCACATTCAGAATGTCATGTTTTATTGAGTTTACTTGCCTCTATTGCATCACTCGTGTTGCTACAAGAAGTTCCTCCTCGGCCTTATTTATTCTCCCGTAGCATTGCGCTTCAAAGATCACAACATGAGAACTGTCTTGTCTCCATTAATGTTAATGACACAACTAAAGATTGAACCTCTCAGTTCCCTGTTTGTTGTGATCCTCAAACATCGGACATTCATCTGACGTACACTGTACTTAATTCTTAGTGAAAAACATTGGTAAGTTGGTAAGATAAGTAGTGCTTCGGACCACCATGCTCATCCGTGTGTACAGTCAGTCCTCTCCACATCGTGCAGTGACGCTCTTTTCATGACCATAGTTCTGTGGAAATGTCTTCAGTCGATGTGTTGTTGGCCGTAGACCGTTTTCCCCCCACACGGTATTTCCATCCTCATAAGATAAAGTATTTTTTCTGTAAGATGCCCTGGACGAGTCAAAAAGCACTGAGTTGTCAAACTGTCCTGACACAAGTCATTGTTGATTTCACTGTTGTAGGGGAAAGACTCTAGGGCTGCAGATAGGACTGTTGCCATGGTGCTGAAGGAGATACCAAGTAAGGCGTCATCAGAAGGGAAGCCCCTCCTCACAGTGACTACCAAGGTGGGCAGAACCATTTCAGAAACTCCCTCGCTTCGCCCCTCCACCCCCCTCCCACCCTCCCCTCCCTCCTCCACCTCCCCACACCCCTCTCTCCCGCCTTCAAGTAGAAAGTCCTCCTGTGTTAGTCATACCGAACAGTAGTAAAGCTTTGAGTGTCCTGTGACCGACCTCCACTGTCTACTAACTCATTTAGTAAAGCCTTGTGACTGTTACATCTAACAAAGACGCAACAAATACTTTGTTTCCAGCTGCTCTATGGGGTATAAAACCCATCCTACTACATCATTACGTTGTACGAAAAACATTATGATCTACATAGGAGCAGCCTCAAATGGTTGCGATATTCCGCATTACCTTTTATCTTTTCGAATTAGCCTCTAAAAGATTCATGGTGCTCTTCCAGTTACCATGTGTTGCGTATATTGGTAGGTATGGGGTGGATTTATCAAGAGGGTCACACAAATTCCCCCCCCTCATTCACAATCCGGATAGAAAAAGTCCCGTGTGGACTTTTTACACCTCATAAGCAGCTGCCACGCAACATAAGCAGTGTGTGAATGCATTGCTGAAAGGCAACGGCACACAGCACGGCATCGCGCCGCTGAACCTGAGCCCTCAGTGGACAAAATACTGCAGCAAATGGCTGAGCTCTTCACTTCTCTTTTGCTTTTTAAAGAAATGTTGTAGCTGGATGCTGTCGGTACTCCAGATGGCAATATGAGTTTCCTTGCTCTGTGCTTGATTGCTTTCTGTAATGTGTACAATGTGTAATTGTGTGTGTGTGTCCTCTTGTGTGTCTGTCTGTGCTTAATGACCTGTAGCATGCTTTATCCTTGTTCAATTTTTTTAATACAATGTCTAATTTTGATTAGCTGCCATTCAGATAATGGTTCCACTCAAGTTGAAGGGATTTAATTATGTCAAGCAATTATTTTTGCTGAAGGATGGAAACTGCTGTGTTGACACAAACAATATATGACTTTTATATCTAAATACAAGTATAGTTACTTTTGTTAAATATGTAAGTATAATTTGTCTTATCATATTTTTACTTCTTAGAATGTTAATAAAACCAACAGTGTTGCACTTTGCTGACACACCATCAGTCCAGTAAGCGTTTTATTAGAGTCATATGGAAAGAATCCATTTCATGAAAACATGCAGCACCTGAGAACGTAACCAAAGCAAGTTGAAACATCCATCATGTTAACAGTCATCCTCGATTACAGATTTAGAAGAATAAAGCCCAAACTCATTTTCTTTTCACTGAACAGAGTAAAGCAACAAAAAAAAAACACTAGGTTGCCGTAATTCACTCCTCACTGTATCACTTTGTTTTCAAACCCTTTGTTTAAACAATTTTCTTTCAAATCAACTGCACTTCAGCCCATCAATGCGGCCAGAAGACACGACAGCGACTAAAGCTGCAGATTTAGAGGCCCGTCTCCATGTCACCTAGCAAGGGAGAGAGGCTGCGTGGCCGGCCGTGGCTCCTCACGCCAAATGTCATCTCAAGTGTATTTGTGAAGCCAAATCCCGCATACGAATCCTCATTGAGCTTCTACGGAGTCAGGCGTCTCTGAGAGAATGAAAATCTTAATTTAATATAGGCTGCACCAAACTAATTATCCATCTACACCAACACGCAGTTTGCACGTGACTCCCATAAAAAATGTGAAATATTCCGTCATAACAAACATTGGCACTGTAGTTAATCTTGAGTCCATACTACATTGCTATGTTTACATAAATACGTTAAACGTACCAAATGTGCCATGATGAGTACGCTGACTCAACTCAAATTTAGCTTTTCACAGATTTGAAAGGGTCAAGTGTATTTTAATTCCCGATCACATCTCATTCCACGCGAACAAAACACACTGAAAGGCGCTGCGGTTCTTTCTCAAGACAAGCACCCCTAACAGAGCCTCCAGCCTGTACCGCTCTCGCCTCTGCTTTGATATTTTGCATCCACCTTTCCCCTTGTGAAATGTTTTCCAACGCGCTCCACCTCCTCCTGTCCTCACCTCGACCTCCCCGCCTTCAAAGCTCTGACAAGTTTAACCGGTACGCGGCTCCATTAGCGGCAACATCTGAGAGACCTCTTGGAGTCAAGCCCAAGCGGCACAATTAGCTCAAGTTCCTCCGTTACGTAATTTTCTCCGGCGCTCCTTAAAGCAAACAAAGTGGCAAAGCGATTTGCATCGGCGATGAGGAAAAAGGTATAACAGGAAGGGGGGCAAAAGAGGAAGGATGATAACCCTCCTTGTAGTGAGAGTAATGGGCAAAGAGCTCAGGGAGCCGCTCTCTTGGATAATTGGCGTTTGCAGGTTACCAGCTACCAGAGTGCCGTCTGTCCCCTTTTTCTGGATGATTAAGAAGAGTCAAAAATCTCATCTTTTCGTGAACATTAGCTAAATTAGGTCCCGATGGCAATCACAGGAAGTGCTCAGGAAAACAGCGTGTTATATATAAGAAAGAATTGCATCGTTGATTTACAAAGCAGTGGTTTCCCGTAGCAGAGATTGTGTTCTCATCATCCTCAGCGAGTCAATTGAGGGACCAGCTGGTTGCAGTTTATCATGGAAATTCTCATTTCACAACTAAACTCAATGTCACGCTTTCCAAGAATATGCCAACGCTGGCAGATTTCAGCAGCGGACACGACTCGGCAGGGCAATCCGTGTTTAAATCAACAGAGAGATGGCTGGTAACCGTGGCAACACCGCTAATGGACATTGGACAAAGGTTCAGTCCGGTTACATTATGGTGTGTTCAGGCTCTGTTCCTTCAAAATGTCCACATGTTAAATGTAATCTTGGTGAGAAACCTGATGTCCATCAATGTGTCAAACGTTTTAAATGTTATCCTTCTACTAATTTATATGCTTCTATTTATCTGTCATCACATTTTTACATTGAAGAAGTTAGAATTCTTGCTGACAAAAGTGACTAAAGGGTCATCAGTTTTCAAAATTGATGGCTATTTTTCTGTCAATACATATTTTCTAGACGATTGACTAAACAAACAAGTACCAGATTGCTAACAACGCCTGCCAGATATTTTTGTCTGTATGAGCGAACCAGATATGAAAAATTCCCCAATGATAAAAAAGAGGCCAGCGGCCTCCACACAACGCGGTGATCCAGAGCATCATACCTCCCTCTCATTAACAACAACAAAGACAAACTCGCAGGCTAAAACGGTTTTGATGTGGTAAATAAAGACAGGAGGGCGTCTCTCATCTTGTTACCCGTGTTGTTTCCGTGTGTTTCATAATGTCACATGTTTCAGGTTCAGTTCAAAAAAATTTGGGGGGGATTTTTGAAGTCAAGAGAAAACGAGGCATCAACCTGATTAAATAACAACTACAACAGATACACAAGTGGCTCAGACTTCTCTCCGACTCGATCTCGTAACTCAGTTTTGACCTTTAAAAACGAGACTACCACGGTGGACCTTCACCCTACGCTTTGTCGCCGCAATCCAAAAACTTCGTGGCCCCGGCAGCAGCGGAGGGGGAAATTAGGTTACTTCACACTGAGACACTTCCCCCAAACCAAAGCTGCATTCTAATACAACAACAGCACAAAGCCTAATTACCTACGCTGGGTCAGCGCTCTCGCAGCGCCGCACGAACTCCTGCTCAACAAAGCAGTGTCCCCCTTTGGATATTATTTACAGATCTTTTTTGTGGCTGCGGGGAAGGTTTCTTCTGTATTCTTTTAAGTACTTGTTATCATCTTCTTCACTTACCTCTTAGTTATTGATTGTTGGAAGTAGAATATGAAACAAAATTAGTGCTCTCTTTTATTTAGGCTTCACTCTATAGTCCTATCTTACAGCTGAACAACGCTACAAGCAGTTTATGAGAATTGCTTAGAAACAAGTTCTATATTAGAAACAGTAACACTGAGTTGGGACTTTCTTAGATGCATCTAACTAAAACGAACGCTTTCTAAACAGTCCTCCAAGGAGTATTGCTTTTGTGTGTGTGGATTGAACTTCATGGTTTACCTTAGCCGTAGCTAAATGACATCTGTTCATGTACGTGGCCGACATAGAACATTACAGGTACGTTTCATGGTCATTTCTGTATTTTATCACCCTCTTCAAAACCCAAATCCAGTTTGTTTCCACTTATTTATTGAGTATTTCAAAGAATTACTTTTGCCGCTGTTAATATGCATTTAACGCTGTTTGGTCGGTGAAACCACAAATAACCAGGATGTAAAGAATCCATTCCATTATTGGTAATTAAACTTCAGCACCTTCATTTAAATTCTGCTTGCGATCATGGCCGGGAGAGCTACGATAATAAATGTCACGTTTCCTCCCTGCCAGCGTCACATGCACAGGCCGAAAAAAGTGCTCGAGGTTTCCCCTTTCTAAGAGACAACGCCGTTTTCTACCAGGAAATGATGAGGCATCGGTTGGTGAATTGTGGGCAGCTGCACCTGGAACATCAAAGCTTCAGGGTCCCAATAATTAATTGGAAACTGCTGCAGCTGCAGAGGCGAGCTGGTTTGGAATATGAGTCAACAATGGTTAAACAATTATTGTGTGGTACACATCCAGCAGGTTTCTCTTTTCAGTAGTTCTCTCAATGACTACTGTAACCTGGCCACCGATTTCTTGAATATATTATAAATGAGAGACCCGGTTTACTTAACGGTGCACAGTGGCTTTGGTTCATAACAGCGCGTAAAGGCTTGCTGAGCAGAAAGAATAGTAATACCACTGTAACAGAGGGGTGAAAAGACTTTGTATTTGCATGTACTCGTATGTAAAAAGCGGAATCCAATTCTGCCTCACACGTCAATGTGAACTGTTAAAAAAGCTCCTCAACATCGGACTGGATCAACCCACACTCGAATCCTTTCAGTGTATCTGTGTCAAGATGCTCTGAACAAATGATGTGCTTTAAAGGAGTTCCTTATCTTGCCAAAAAGACACACACACACACAAGACATGTTGAAAGACTTTTGCAAAGCCCAAAAGGACTGAACTCCTATATTATCGGGGACTTTTGTACGATGGCAGTTTGCCGCTGAGTGACAGCCTGAACTGTGTTGTCTGTTTGCCCTTACAGCTGGTCGGCGAGCAACAAGAGAGCCGCCCGCTTTTAAGTCCCTCCATCGACGATTTCCTCTGCGAGACCAAGTGCGATGGGGTTTCCCGCCCAGTGACTTCAAACACAGCTGGTACAGTACACCACATTTCCACTATTGAAAAAAGACATAGGTATTACAAGTCTATTAAGACAGCTCACTGTCCAAATAACCACATGGAATACAGCTTTCCAATAACATGTTGTGTTTGTGAACGCGTGAGGGACTTGGATGACTCATCGGATGCTGTAGACATGGTAATCATACCAGGGAGGGTGCTTTATATTTAGTTGGGTCATGTGTCTTTCAAAGAAAACATCTTACCATTGATCTTAGTTACCAGCTAAACTAGAGTGTGTTATGTGATGTTTCACTGATGGAAATACCAAGAGATCCATTCTGGATTCCTGTCTGATAGCTAATCAATTAGTGTGTCTCCCTGCAGCCTCTCTCTCTCTCTCTCTAATATTATATATTAAAGTCAGTCTATGTATGATATATTGTCTAAACCACTTAGAAAAAGATTATTCAGATCAGTTTTTAATTTTCAAATATAGAGCAAATTCCAATCAATTTTCCAGGTGGTCACTCCAACATTCCTGTGCCATCAAACCACTGGAGAAAAAAACAACGACTTTTCTTTTCATATTTGTTTTAGCAAGTTATCCATCATAAGGTCACGATACCCCAATGTATTGTAACTGCGCAGAGGCCTTGGATAACATGGTATGATTCATAATTTAATAGTTTAGAATTAAAAGAACAGTGATCATAATAATGTGCACCACCCTCCACCCATTACCGTTACAAGCAAACTGCAAAATCTGATTTGACTTGAAGCGTCAGCATTTGTCTTATGTTTACCAGTCTACATTGTTTATTAATTACAACCATTTCTTCCACCCAAGAAATTAACTTAAAATCCACTGGGTTAAAGTAGGTGTCAAGGAAATCAATGTTTTGACAGATGCCTAATAAAAAAAGCCATCTTGCTTTCCACGTGGAGATGGGACTTTGATCACTGAGCCGTACCGTCCTTTGAACGACGAGGATTTTTCCACAACCAGATTGCACAGCTGACATGTGTCCTCTCCATACTGGCCCCTGACTGCGCCGACTCAGGCGGTCAAAGTACGGTACTGAACCTCCTGTCTCCCCAGCGCCTCCTGCCGCTCCCGCTGACAACGCTGCAGGCTTTATATAATTGGTCATTTACCTCACAACTGAAAGAAATACCAAATTATATAATGAACAATGATTACTTGCTCAAATATTACCAGACCTACACGGTGCTGTGCGTCCAGTTTGACTTATGAGCATTGAGAAACCCGTCAAAAACTATAAATAAAATGACTGTCTGTTTAAATTTGAAATTGAATTAATAAAAATGAAAAACAATGTATGGGCTGGCTGAAGTAACACTATTCATCAAGAACACGGACACATATTCATCAAGTAGAGACTCACCCCAGCGATTATCTTGTGAAACCATTTTGTCTTGTAAACACGGAAAAAATACATTATGGAAATAGAATGTATATATTTCCTCTTCTATTTAACCCATAATGTGTGTTTTCATCATGTTTTAAAGCCGAAACCTGGACCTCAACAAAAAATGCTCAGCAATCAGATGTATTTGCTCTCATGAGTTGTTAAATTAATATATGCGCATCCAGTTATAATATCCAGTTGATGAAGAAAACTTCTGCAATCGTCTTCCCGGCCTCATCATTTCAAGTACACTCGAGGGTGCCAAAACATTTTTGACATCATTGCACTTTCATGAACAGCTTGTGCTTCCTATTGGTGCTGAAAACTCTTCAGGCAAACCTTCCCCCACCAGCGAGTCTGCCTTGATTTTTAATTTGACTTGCCATCTAAAGAGCACAAGGCATGGAAGACAAGCATGCTCCCTAATTATGCAGAGATTTCAGTCAAGGAATCCTCTCAGTTGGTTGTCATGAAACAGCAGCACGCCAATTATGGAGTCATGGAGCTAAAAGGGCTGTTTAACAGGCGTCGTGAGCCTGACGTTGACTTTAAGGCAACGTTTGCCATCCCTTCTGTTTGGTTAACTGACCAGACAGCAACCTGCGACGGAGTGGCCTAAATGAACAAACTGGAGCTCTTGGAGGGGCCGTCTCGTCCTTATCGGCCTGTGCAGTGGCTTGTAGTATATATAGAGTCTCTGAAAAGAGCAGAAGTATATTTTTTAGATGCCCACCCTGGGGGCAAAACCGTGACGGCTTAACCACCTTTGACAGCTCAACTCACAGTGTCGGAAAATGTGTAGATCAAAATCGAAGCTTCATGCAGGACTTGGAGTTAAACTTTCCTTCTATCTTATCAGGAAGAGAACGGAAAGTTTCCAAAATATGGAACCCAGGGAAGAATATTAAAAAATAAAAAAAACGGATCCAAACCAAACAATGAATGCAGAACTGTTATTAAAGAATATCAATCACAAAGATGACTGTTATTCTCACGTCTCAAGAAACAATTATTTAAGAGGAGCGTAGCGAGGAAAAAACAGGGAACAACAGATTAAAACAGCCATTGTTTTTAACATTAAAGGGCGCTTAAAGTATCCATTCATACCACAATGCTTTGTATGTTGGGAAATGGATCTTGCACAGCTGTGACGCCATCAAATAAACAAAGTGTTTCCACGGGCCGACACATTAAACACCTGAAAAAGTATTAGACTATGGTGGCAGTTCTCGAAACGATTTGTTCCTCAAGGATACATTTTTGACACAAACCAACCGACTCACACGTATTCAAGACCAGCTGCTTGTTGGTTAACTAAACGGCCGTCGTGTCCCTCACAGTTCTATCTTCAACGCTGGACCTGCTGGATCTCAGTGAACCCGGCGAAAAGAAGAGCAGCAAGGACAAAAGGAGCCCTCAGTCCTCGCGCGGCAACAGCCAGAAGAAAAACTGCCACAGGAAGAAGACGGACGAGACAGAGCTGATCCAGGTGGAAGTTGAACAGACAGGAAAAGGCGTGAGGACTGCAGAGAGGGCGTCGACAGACTCAGGTAGAGACGGATTGTTGAGGGGTTATTTCTCAAACCTTCTTACGAGAAGCCAAGAGAATTCGTGAAATGCGATTTGTGGGCAAAAGAAGGTCAGTCTCTTGATGCAGGCCGGCTTTCAGTTAGCTGGTATCTCTCAATAATGCACAAACGAGAGTGGAAGTATCATACTGACTGACTGATGTGTCTTTACCGCCAAGACTTTAATGCATCCGCTTTGCGTATATCCAGCATCTGTATTTCCATGACCGCCGATGCCAAAACGGCCCGTGGAAATATCCGACTCCTATTTCTTTGGACTGGTAAAACTTTAATCATATCTTTGTGCACATCATTATTCACCAGCAACGACCACACGCATCCCCCACACGCCCCAACTTCTCAGACGCCAATCGACCCCTGTGGGACCGACTACGCACGCGCTCACGACAGACGGATCAGGCCTGTGCACTGTAATGAAAGGGATCATCTTAAAAGACATTAGGAGGAAACGGCCAATTACTTTCCTATTTGCCAGTTGAAAAGGTTAAAGTCTTCATGAGAACTAATTATGCAAACCGTGGCCGACCACACTGTGGACAGTAATTGACGGTGGTGAGATTATTAGCCTTGTGTCATTTAAGCAAAACTTTACTTTCTGTTACGATTGTGGTTATATGCTTTTCATTTAGACGCCAAAAGCATTCATTTTAAATTAGTACTTACTTTGCCTTGATACAAAGCTCAAAACACTTTAGCGTTTATCCTAATCAACAGATAATAGATTGACCTGAGGCTAACTGATATTTAAGAGGTTAAATTACAATTAGAGGGACTTATTTAATCAACATTTGAGGATGTTTTTGATCTGCAACTGTTGAAGTCTGATTTGCGTCTGTTGCTAATTTAAAGTTTTTTACTTTTCTATTCTTCTTACTTTATTTTTGTCACTAGTTACCGTTGTTTCAACGTTGGATAAATGGGAAGAGCTGAACCCGAACCCCGAGAGTAACGGAAACAGGAAATGGAAGATGGAGAGGCGGCGTTCTTCTAAACATTCCTCCAATGAGTTTCTGTGGTAGGTGTTGGTGGACATCAGTGGACAATGCAACAGCAAACAAGAGTCTGATTCTTCACTTGAGATTCATACTTTTAGAAACAAATTCTAAATGGCGTTGTGTGTTAGGTGTGGACTCTCAATGCGACCATAATTCCTTTTCCATACCCACATGTAGGTGTAGATACACAAGATGCTGCATCTCCCATAAGAATCGTGTATTCACATCAAGTCTGTCTGTATCACGTAAACGATTTTCCCTTTTCCTCTTCTGCTTTAGGTCCATAGACTGTAAAACCCAAATAGAGCCGATGAACAAGAATGCCTTGGAAGTACACACCAAAGGGGAGCCAGATTCTGCTTTAGCATCTCAAGTAAGTGCTTATTAAGGCAGAAGAGGACTGTAATCTTCATTATTGTCTGCACATGCAATCAACATCCTCTTGAAATGAGAAAGCTTCACACATCTCAAACATATTCTTCTGACTGATGGGTAAACCCTCGCAATGAGTCCACGAAATGATGAAGCAACTGCATGCCGATGCACGATAATGTAGCCCTAAAAGTGAGGTTTACTCACCCTGTTGAGTAATTGCTAATTGTTGTCCTAACAGCTACAATTCTTCCATTTCAGCTCAACAAGCAGTATATTAGTGGAAGACATGTAAGCCTCGCTATGCATCCTTTCATATGGTACTGAAAGAGTTATACATTTGCACCGGGGAAAAAGCATCACCGTCTCATACAATTTGACTTAAATGCCCAAATGGAGGAGATTATTGAGGCCAAGAGGCCAAATCCAGATTGTTGGTCTTGAGATTGTTCCTTTGTGGTGCTCCAAGGTCCAAATGTCAAGCGCTTTCCTCCTCAGTTGATGTCTCTGTGTAGGTTCGCATTAACGGGTCTTGTTTCCGGACACCGTTACTCTGAGCCCATTAGGGTGGATCTCACCAAGCTCATCTGAACACCTCTTCAGCACTCTGATGAATAATAGACCTGGGATTTATTTTGCTCAGGAGTTACATGACGGCTGACACCGATACTGTAAAGAGTGGGTGAAATGCAGTGTACGTTTTTTCTCCATGGCGCTGTACACAAATTCAACTATGCAAAGATTTCTGAAAACGAGTGTTAGTTCGGACACAGAGCAAAACTCCAGAGCGCTGAACTGAATCCAATGTTTTCACTCAAATAGATATTTTTAAATCTTCAAGTTCTGGAATATTAAGGATTGCCACATTGAATGAAAAACACATCTTAAATCCTAATACAAGCCCTCTTTGATTCCTAAACACAGGCACCAGAGCCTGACATCAGCTGACATCTCCCTGATTATTTTCTGTTATTAAACTATTGCTGTACAGGAAATCTCTTTTCAGGATGCCAAATATTGCCAGACTTCAGGAGGATTTAAGATGAATAAATTGATACAACAACAACAACATCAAAGAGCTTTGAGAATGTGGCAGGATTTTTAACAATACATGCATGTTTGTCCTTTGAATAAAAAAGAAAATGTGGTTATCTACAATAAATGGATGAGTCAATTAATACTGAGATTAAGTAACCTCAATTAATCTTGCATAATGCCAGTCTGCAGAGATATAAATTGTTGCAGGTACTGGCTGGTCCATTCTGTGGGAAGCCACTGACATGGAGGAATTAATTCCTCTACTCTCCGTTATGGATTTTCTGCTATTTACAGAAAATCCAGCACCATGTCACATCTGAGCATGAGAGGCCATATTAAAGTAATTTACCCTTTGTTAAATGTGTAGGTGTATTACACTGTAACCAAAACGCAAAACCACATGCGTGTAATTGGTCTAATTCCCTTTTTTTGCACAGCAGCACAATGTTTCTTCAGAAATTTCATAACTGAGAGGCTATCAACATGATTCAGACATTGCATGTGCAGGTGCACGGGAAAGGGATTGGGTGGGGGAGTGAAATTGCAAACGGCTGGATGAGTAGCATGGCACTCGGATGAGGGGCTGGACGAGATGCTGACAGCAGTGATTCTGCTAGCCTTCCTAAGCATGTCAGAGGCTTTGTCGAGGAAGGGATATTTACTCGTCCCTGGGAAAGCGGAGACGGCTGACCCTGCACACTCTCCCTGCCCGTCTCTCCCTCTGGCTGATCGGTTGTGTGAGTGATGTGCTGGGCTGATATGTGTGCGTGTGTGTGTGTGTGTGCCGGCGGTTGCGAGTGTGCATATGTTTATTAGAGTTTGTCTTTGAATGAATGCATATGTAATGAAACGTGTGTGTGTGTGTGTGTGTGTGTGTGTGTGTGTGTGTGTGTGTGTGTGTGTGTGTGTGTGTGACAGGCTCGCCTAGTCAAGGAGCAGCGGTTGGGCAGTGCCCTCCTTTCCAGACATCAGTCCCTGGAGGAGGAGTTCGAGCGAGCGAAGGCCGCCGTTGAGGTAAGCAGAGGTCTCCTCCCGCTTTAGCATCTAGCAAAAAGCAGCGCAAACCCATGCCAGTGATGGGTCCAACCTGTGTAACGGCTGCAATAGGAAATTTACCCCCAGGATCAG